GAAACCCACTCCAACCCAGGCTGGCTTCGAACTCATGACCTTTTTTTGGTCAGAGTGATCTTAATGCAGCTGACACTCAGCCAGCTGCGCCACAATCCCGGCGCACAATCCTGGGAAGATATTTGCCCTTTACCACTGAAAGTCAGAAAAAAATATAACACTACGTAACCAAATTTGAAATGGTTTCTGTTCCTTGAAAGTGTTATTTCCTGTTTAATTGTGCAGTACTTAGTAGTTGTTCGACTCCAGAAACTTTTGTTTTGTAGCTGCCACGAACTAAGTTGAATTAGTTGAGACTAAATGAGATATTCATTGAAAAGCTATAGCAAAAGGTGCTGCGAAAACTACGTTTTTTGCAGTTTAATACACTTTTCCCATGTTTTAATGATAGAACCAATTAGGAAATGACACTGATAACCCAGGAACAAACATTGTGTTACAGAGTGTCATTCTTGTACACAAACCAAATACCGTTTCCCCCCCTTTTTCAACTACAAGGAAGCAAACCAGAGTTTATTAACTCAGCTGGTTCAATGAATATCCTCTGATTGGGAGCAAACAATGGGATCCTGGCTGTTATCTTGTGACACTTAACACTGCATTCATTAGTATGATTATACCCATACGGCAGATAAGATACTGCAGATTGAGCTGTAGATAGGGAGGCTGTGTGGCGTAATGGTTTGAGTGTGTCGGGCTTTGGAAGGCCAGGGTTCGAATCAAACACTTACTGCAAGTCACACTCTCTCAACCTCAGAGGAAGGCAATGGCAGACCCCATCTGAACAAAGGCCCATGAAACGCTGACTTTAAGGTTGCCATAAGTCTGAAACACATCTCAAAATGGGTTGTTGTGAGTTTTCCGGGCTGTATGGCCATGTTCCAGAAGCATTCTCTCCTGACGTTTTGCCTGCATCTGTGGCAAACAGCCTTAGGGGTTGTGAAGTCTCAAAATATTTTTTTTTTTGGGGGGGGAGTATCTTTCTTGCCATAAGCTTAGAACAAATGTTTATATTCAGTTTTGAGTCTCATAGAATCATAGAATCAAAGAGTTGGAAGAGACCTCATGGGCCATCCAGTCCAACCCCATTCTGCCAAGAAGCAGGAATATTGCATTCAAATCACCCCTGACAGATGGCCATCCAGCCTCTGTTTAAAAGCTTCCAAAGAAGGAGCCTCCACCACACTCCGGGGCAGAGAGTTCCACTGCTGAACGGCTCTCATAGTCAGGAAGTTCTTCCTCATGTTCAGATGGAATCTCCTCTCTTGTAGTTTGAAGCCTCATTATAGTTGATTTTGCCCAGGGGCGCTCTTGAGGCACTCTTGGGGGAAAATAGACCTTGACATATGCGAGTTGTAGTTACTGGGATGTATAGTTCAGCTACAATAAAAAACTCCACCAATGATGGAATTGAACCAAATATGGCACAAAGAACTCCCACAACGAACAGTGATTGGTTGGGGGGGGGGGGGGGAAATACTGTTTGCTTACCATTGAAAATTACCTAGGACCGCCTCTGGATGGAATCTCCTCTCTTGTAGTTTGAAGCCATTGTTTTGTGTCCTAGTCTCCAGAGAAGCAGAAAACAAGTTGCTCCCTCCTCCCTGTGGCTTCCTCTCACATATTTATACATGGCTATCATATCTCCTCTCAGCCTTCTCTTCTTCAGGCTAAACATGCCCAGCTCCTTAAGCCGCTCCTCATAGGGCTTGTTCTCCAGACCCTTGATCATTTTAGTCGCCCTCCTCTGGACACATTCCAGCTTGTCGATATCTCTCTTTATCTCTCCTTTGAGAGAGATAAAGCAGGGTACTTTGGCGCAAGCTGGTAAAGGTAGTCCCAGTGGGTACAGTGCCTAAAGACCTTGGCCTGCACTTAAAAACAATTGGCATTGACAAAATTATCATCTGTCAGCTGCAAAAGACCACCCTACTCGGAGCTGCACACATTATTCGCTGATACATCACACAGTCCTAGACACTTGGGAAGTGTCCGACATGTCATCAAACAAACATGTTTTCAAACTGCTAGGTTGGCAGAAGCTGATATATAACCCCATTTTCCTAGTTTCCAACAGACCTCACAACCTCTGAGGATGCCTGCCATAGATGTGGGCAAAATGTCAGGAGAGAATGCTTCTGGAACATGGCCATACAGCTCGGAAAACTCACAGCAACTTATATGTATTTCTCCTTTTTGATTGGAAGGTAGAAATGATTGTTCATTTATTCTTGATGCAGACTGATACAAAGCAAATATATGTCTATTCATCTAATAATACTAATAATATTATTACTACTACTACCAATTATTATTATTATTATTATTATTATTATTATTATTATTATTATTATAAATACAAATGGATTAGTACACAGAAAACAAGGTCACTCTGCTGGTTGTTGTACTAATCTTTTTGCATTTAAAATAATAATAATAATAATAATAATAATAATAATAACAACAACAATAACAACAACAGCCAGCAGAATGATCTTGTTTGCTGTGGACTCATCTTGTTGTGTTTCAAATAATAATAATAATAACAACAACAACAACAGCCAGCAGAGTGATCTTGTTTGCTGTGGACTCATCTTGTTGTGTTTCAAATAATAATAATAATAACAACAACAACAACAGCCAGCAGAGTGATCTTGTCTGCTGTGGACTCATCTTGTTGTGTTTCAAATAATAATAATAATAACAACAACAACAACAGCCAGCAGAGTGATCTTGTCTGCTGTGGACTCATCTTGTTGTGTTTCAATAATAATAATAATAATAATAATAATTTCTCATCATTTCCTTGTCTGCTGTGGACTCATCTCGTTGTGTTTCAAATAATAATTAATAATAATAATACAATGCAACAGCCAGTAGAGTGATCTTGTCTGCTGTGGACTCATCTTGTTGTGTTTCAAATAATAATAATAATAACAACAACAACAACAGCCAGCAGAGTGATCTTGTTTGCTGTGGACTCATCTTGCTGTGTTTCAAATAATAATAACTGCAAAGGCTCTGGCATAAACCAGAACAGGTCGTCCCAGTGGTAATTGGCTGGGTGCCGTGCCAAAAGATCTCAGCCAGCATTTGGAAACAATAAACATTGACAAAATCACGATCTGACAACTGAAAAAGCCACCTTACTTGGATCTGTGCGCATCATTCGAAAATACATCACACAGTCCTAGATGCTTGGGAAGTGTTCGACTTGTGATTTTGTGATCCAAAATCCAGTATATATATCTTTTTAAAAAAATTATTTTTATTTAGAATATGTGCTCAATAGAATGGAGCGTGATAGAAAGTGGTAAGCATTATATTATTTTAAAAAACAATAATGAAAGTCATCGGTATACATGGAAAGTGGGGGAACAATAAAAAAAAACAGGCTAGGTTGTGAAAGTTTAGAAAAAGAAGGGGAAAAGAAGGTGGGAGAAGATGGGGGGAGGGGGAGGGGGAGGGTGCCCGAGTGACCATTGAGCTCGTCTCAGGCAGAATAGCGTACTTCCAGGTTTCCTAGGTCAAATCTTGCTTTCCTTGGTTGAGACTGTCCGTCTTCGTTTCTTCAAGACTTGAGGACACAGGTCTTTTAACTATTTTTTTAGTTGTTATTATTATTATTATTATTTTAGTCATATTGTTTCATTCTTAAAATGTCTATTTCTTTGTTTTCCTTTTCAAGAATATTTAAAAGATTATCCCAATTTGTTTCTTTTATTTTGGCTTTATTTTGTAGCATCCTCTGTGTTAGTAAGTCCATATTCATAATATCTAAAGATTTTAATAACCACTGTTCTATTGTTGGTACTTCTTTGTTTTTCCAAAACTGAGCTAATTTAATTCTTGCTGCTGTAGTCAAATAAAAAAAATATCTTGTTTGTATTGTTGTCAGTGTCGAAGTCCATAATACCCAATAAAAAGTATTCCGGTTTAAAGTCGAATTTAAGTTGTAGAATTATTTCTATTTTTTTATATATCAGATGCCAGAAAGATTTAACTTTTTTACATTTCCACCACATGTGGATAAAGTCCCCTCTATGTTTGCCACATTTCCAACAATTACCTTCTCTTTTCCTTTTGTTAAATTTTGCTAATTGAACTGGGGTTAGATACTACCTGTGGAAGGGTTTTAACCAGTTTTCTTTGAGTTCTGTGGAATATGTGAATTTTAATTTCCTCCCATTCTGAGAAACTAATAGATATGTCTTTGGCCCACTTCACCATGGATTCCTTGACCTGTTCCCCTTCTGTTGACCATCTTAACAGCTGCATATATCTAGCATATATATCTTGTTTGTTGTGACATACTGTGTTTTTGTGTCAGTAAAATAGCAATAATAATAATAATAATAATAATAATAATAATAATCCAGCATATATATCTTATTTGCTATGTCATACTGTGCTTTTGAATAATAATAATAATAATAATAATAATAATAATAATAATAAGTAGTAGTAGTAGTAGTAGTAGATTATAAGATGAAAAGAGAACATATTATTATTATGATTATTATGATTATGATGATGATGATTATTATTATTCCCAGCATGGCATTTCCACCAAGGACCAAGAGCTGTGTGGCAACTTTCCTGATGTTTTTCCTTGCCTCCTCCCCGAATCCAAAGGGCCATCCCAAACATTTAATGTGTTGACTTAACTGGCCTAGTTTGGGCAACAAAAGGAGCCCCAAAGTGTGGGGCTGATTGTCCTAATGGCACCCATTAGCTTCCCCTTTTGACTTGCAAAACCCCTTCTGCCCCTTTACCATGTCATTACCTCTGGAGGGGCGGAGAAAGGGGGAATGCCTGGTGTCCTTAGAGCCATCCCAGCAGGAGGTTCTGTCCTTCTCCTCTGAGCATTGTGCCAAAGGAAGGCTGGTGTGTTGGACCCCTGGCAACCCCAACCCATCCCATTGGCCCACCTCTTCTCCGCCTCTCCTGACCCAAAGAGGTGGGTACAAACTTCAATCTGATTTCCTTACCTCTTACAGTTCCAGCTGCCCTTGGATGCTGAGCGAGCTGAGTGGAGCAGGATAACCTAAGAGACCACCCTCTGAACCAACCTCAAGCTCCAGCCGAAGAGAAGGAAGACCCTCTCCCAGTTGTTGCCCAGTTCCAAGGAGAAGAAGGGTGGGAGACACCAACCTTCTGAGCATGATGTCCTACATCAAGCAACCACATTATGCGGTCAACGGGTTGACCTTGGCTGGGCCAGGCATGGACCTGCTGCATTCGGCGGTCGGGTACCCCAGTAAGTAACACTTTCCCCCATTCTGTCATATTCCAGTAAGGTGGGCCATAAACACCAGGGTCTGGGGCAGTGTTTTCCAAACTGTTCTTCCATTGGCCAAAGCTATTGAGGCTTCTGGGAATCAAAGGCCAAGACATTATGAGGACTAGGGTTTTTTTGGGAATCACTGGTCTAGAGCAGGCATGGGAGTTTGCTCCTGCCTGCTATATAATATATACATTTTAGAGGAAGGAACTGGCAGAGCTATCACTTGAGTAATGCCAAAGAAAACTCTATGACATGTCATGGAGTCACCATAAGTTAACAAGCAACTTAGAATAACTTAAGTGGATAGGTTCGAACAAGAAGTTTGCAATTCCCATACTAGGCTGTTGGTAAAAAGGGGAGCATCTACACCAGGTATGGGCAAACCCAGGGACCAGATGCAGTCCCTTGGGCTCTTTCCTCAGGCCCTCCTCTTTCTCATCATCCCATCCTTCCTTCCTTCTCTTTCCTTCCTCTTTCTCCCACCCTCCCTCCTTCCCTTCTACCTTCCTTCCTTCCTTCCTTCTCCTTCCTTCCTTCCTTCCTTCCTTCCTTCCTTCCTTCCTTCCTTCCTTCCTTCTCCTTTCCCTCTATCCAGTCTCTTCCATCCTTCTACCCTTTCGTTCTTCCTTCCCCTTCCTTCCTTCCTTCCTTCCTTCCTTCCTTCCTTCCTTCCTTCCTTCCTTCCTTCCTTCCTCCCTTCTCCCTCCCCTCCCTCCATTCTCTTCCACCCTTCTATCCTTCTCTTCCTTCCTTCCTTCCTTCCTTCCTTCCTTCCTTTCCTTCCTTCCTTCCTTCCTTCCTTCCTTCCTTTTTCCCCTTTCTTTCCTCCTTTTCCTTCCCTTCTTCTTCTCCCTTTCTCCTTCCTTCCTCCTTCCTTCCTTCCTTCCTTCCTTCCTTCCTTCCTTCCCTTGTATGTTTCCTTCCTTTTCCCTTCCCTCCCTCCATTCTCTTCCACCCTTCCATGCTTCTCTTCCTCCCTTTCTTCGTTCCTTCTCTCTTTCCTTCCTCCTTAAATCTTCCCTTCTTTCTTTACCTCCAACTTTCTCCTTCCTTCCTTCTCCTTCCTTCCTTCCCTTTTATTTTTCCTTCCTTTTCCCTTCCCTCCCTCCATTCTCTTCCCCCTTTCCATCCTTCTCTTCCTCCCTCCCTCCCTTCTCTCCTTTCTTCCTCCTTTCCTTCTTTCTTTACCTCCAACTTTCTCCTTCCTTCCTTCTCTTTTATCTTTCCTTCCTTCTCCCTTCCCTTCCTCCATTCTCTTCCACCCTTCTCTTTCCTTCCTCTTTCCATCCTTTCCTTCTTTCTTTACCTCCATCTTTCTCCTTCCTTCTCTTTCATAGAATCATAGAATCAAAGAGTTGGAAGAGACCTCATGGGCCATCCAGTCCAACCCCCTGCCAAGAAGCAGGAATATTGCATTCAAATCACCCCTGACAGATGGCCATCCAGCCTCTGTTTAAAAGCTTACAAAGAAGGAGCCTCCACCACACTCCGGGGCAGAGAGTTCCACTGCTGAACGGCTCTCACAGTCAGGAAGTTCTTCCTCATGTTCCCTTCCCTTTTATCTTTTCTTCTCCCATCTCTCCCTCCATTCTCTTCCACCCTTCCATGCTTCTCTTCCTCCCTTCATTCTCTCCTTTCTCCCTTCATCTCTTCTTTCCTTACCTCCCTCTTTCTCCTTCCTTCCTTCCTTCTCCTCCCTCCCTTCCTTCTCTTCCACCCTTCCTTCCCTCTTTCTCTTTCCTTCCTTCTCCCTTTCTTCCCTCCATTTTCTTCAGATAGCAGGGAAAGAGATTCAACTGAAAAGATTAGGAAGAACTTCCTGGAGAGTGGCCTAGGCTGCCTGGGAATACAGTGGAGTCTCCTTCTCTGCAGGTGTTTCTGCTGAGGCTATCTGTTGGGAGTGCTTTGATTGTGTCAACTTGCATGGCAGGGGGTTGGACTGGATGGCCTTTGGGGGTCTCTTCCAGCTCTAGGATTCTAGGATTCTATATCTGGAGTAGGCAATACAGGCCAACAGAAAATACTGCATTGTCGAAGGCTTTCATGGCCGGAATCACTGGGTTGTTGTCAGTTTTTCTGGGCTATTTGGCCATGTTCTAGAGGCATTTTCTCCTGACGTTTCGCCTGCATCTATGGCAAGCATCCTATGAGGTAGTGAGGTCTGTTGGAAGTAGGAAAATGGGGATGCTTGCCATAGATGCAGGCGAAATGTCAGGAGAAAATGCCTCTAGAACATGGCCATATAGCCCAGAAAAAACCTACAACAACCCAGAAAATATTGCGTTTTTGATGGTCTTTGGCAACCCCTCTGATGTCCCCTCATGATCCCCCCAGGTTGAGAAACACTGATGTAGTGGATCTCCTTGATCTGAAACTGGATGGTGATGATGCTGAAGATGCTGATGATGATTTAGGCCTTGGGTGTTAGAGAGAAAAAGCCAATCCCTGCATCCTATTCTTCTTAGGCAAAGGATGGGCCCAATTAGAAGAGACAAGAGTCCTCCCTCCCGCTGGCAGCCAGGATTGCCCCCAAAGGGATCTGAATTGTCATGGGAATGGTTTGCACAAAAGGAGGGGAGAAACCAACAAATCGGGCCTCCTGCAAAAAGATGGGGAGCTCAATTACTTCTTGTGGTTCTTTCTTTACCTTGGGACCCCATCTGAAGATGCCCCGCAGAACATGCAAATGTTGACTTATATTGCAAATAATAGTAATGGGGCTTAATGCAGACAGGGTGGCCAATGCCATGGCGAAGCGTTACGAAAGAAACAACCTTTCGGAGATTTGTATCCATTAATCCAGATCATATGAAATTGTTATGTCTTTCTTTTCGGTCCTAATTAGAACAGAAATGAATGGCACTTATTCTTTGCCACTTATGTAAGTCTTATTAACTTCAGTGGGTCTACTTTAGTTGGGATTAAAATGGGGTTTGGTCCTATATTGTTAACCCTGGAGGTCATCTCTGCTCACTTTGCAAAGAGTAGCCAAGTGTTTTAGGTGGGAAAATGGGTTAAGATCATAGATTATTTAGTATCAAACTCAAATGTGAATAGTTGTTTCTGTGTGTGTTTAATGTTTTGGGAACAATTATTTACAGTTTTGGCTAGTTAGTTTGTTGTTGTTCATTCGTTCAGTCGTCTCCGACTCTTCGTGACCTCATGGACCAGCCCACGCCATAGCTCCCTGTCGGCCGTCACCACCCCCAGCTCCTTCAAGGTCAGTTTAATTAGTTTAGTCTAGTTAGTTTAGTAAAAGTATATTCCCACATACTTCCAGATTGGAGAATGACAATAATAATAATAATAATAATAATAATAATAATAATAATAATAATAATAATAATCTTGTTTGCTGAATACTAATCTTATTGAGTAACATATAATAATAATATAACAGCAACGACATATAATAATATGACCATATGAATAATTAATTATTAATAAGAAAAATAATAGTATAACAACAGCAACAACATATAATAATATGACTATAATAATGATGATGATGATCCTGTTTGCTGTGTACTAATCTTGTTGTGCATCAAATAACAATAATATAACAGAACAACATATAATAATATGGCTATATGAATAATAATAATAATTAATATAACAGCAACAACATATAATAATATGACTATAATGATGATGATGATCCTGTTTGCCCTGTACTAATCTTGTTGTGTATCAAATAACAATACTATAACAGAACAACATATAATAATATGGCTATATGAATAATAATAATAATTATTATTATTAATATAGCAGCAACAACATATAATAATATGACTATAATAATGATGATGATGATCTTGTTTGCTGTGTACTAATGCTGTGTATCAAATAATAATAATAACACTAACAATAATATAACAACAGCAGCATATAATAATATGACTATATGAATAATAATTTATTATTATTAATATAACAGGAACAGCATATAATATTATGACTATAATGAGGATGGTGATGATAATGATGATTTTGTTTGCTGTGTACTAATCTTGTTGCTTATCAAATAATAATAATATAACAACAGCAACATAATAATATGACTATATGAATAATTTATTATTATTATTATTAATATAACAGGAACAGCATATAATAATATGACTATAATGATGATGATGATGATCTTGTTTTCTGCGTACTAAACTTGTTGTGTATATAATAATATTAACAACAAGAAGGTCCTCCAGTGTGCATGTGGTAGGGCTCAGGCTGCATTGCAGTAGGTGGTCTGTGGTTTGCTCTTCTCCGCACTCGCATGTCGAGGACTCCACTTTGTGGCCCCATTTCTTAAGAGCCGTAGCAAACTACTGGAAGCGAGAGCGAGCTTGTGCTCGAGATCGCTCCGAAGCCCCGCCTCCCCCCCCCCAGGCTGCTCTCTCTCTTGCTAGTGTGCCTGTTTTCCCTTGCTAGGGAAGCGATGTGAGTGTACTCTCGCAGTTGGCAGAATTCAACTGTGAGCGTACGCTCACATCCCTGCCCTCTGCAATGGAAAACAGGCACGCTAGCAAGAGAGAGAGCAGCCTCGGGGGGAAAAAAGGCGGGGCTTCGGAGCAAGCCCGAGCGCAAGCTTCTTGTAGTTTGCTGCGGCACGAGCGTATGCTCGCAACGCTGCTGCAGCAAAGGGAAATAGGCGGAGAAAGAGGCGGAGCATCGCTCGTGCTGGCTTAGTTTGCTCTCGCAAAATCCTAGTTTGTTACGGCTCTAAGATTGACTATGCATCTCGTGGTGCCAGAGCACAGTCTGTTCAGCGCCTTCCAAGTCACCCAGACTTCTGTGTACCCTGGGGGAAGTCTCTCATCCGGTATCAGCCATGGATTGAGTTTCCGGGTTTTAGCCTGCCACCTTTGGACTCTTGCTTGCTGAGGTGTTTCTGCGAGTATCTCTGTAGAATTTAGGAAGCTGTTTTTTTATTTAAGGCGGGACATGAGAGAAGCCTCCCCACAGGCGTCCCCTGGGCAACGTCTTTGTAGACGGCTGATTTTCTCACACTAGAAGTGACTTGCAGCATGCAACCAAACAAACAATACAATAATAATAATAATAATAATAATAATAATAATAATAATAATATAGATTTTATGTGCTATCTGCCTCTACGAAGTGTTTTAAGGCCATTCTCTGGGATAATTCCAACCCTGCCTATGTATAACTTACGCCACTTTTTGGTTAATCCAAACATGAACAAGGAAAACTATCTGTGTGGAAGGTCCAGAGTGGGTTCAGGGTGGGAGAAAGAACTTTTTGTCTGTTGGAGGCAGGTGTGAATGTTGCAACTGGCCACCTTGATTAGCATTGAATAGCCTTGCAGCTTCAAAGCCTGGCTGCTTCTTGTTTCCCACCCTGGGCATTCCACAGGTATATAAACCGCACTTGCCTAGTTTCCAACAGACCTCGCAACCTCTGAGGATGCCTGTCATAGATGTGAGTGAAACGTCAGGAGAGAATGCTTCTGGGAAAAGGCCATAGCATGTAAACTCACAGCAACCCAATGTTGTTATTATAATTATTATTGGACCCACATGGATCCAAACCTTCACTTCTGCCGCCCTCCAAATCTTGTTGGACTAGAACTCCCATCATTGGCTATCCCGGCTTGTGCTGCTGGGAGTTGTAGTCCAGCAAAACATAAAGGGACAGCGTAACATTCCATGCAGGTGAAAGAGGGAAGTAGATTGTTTTGTAAAGGAGGTGTAATCAGCTGGGAGGGAAATCAATTATTTCCAAGTTGAGAGATAACGCACTATTTGCCAACACCAAAGGTGCGAGATCTTGAAAGTGGCCCCACAATTATTTCCTCCAAACGAAATTAACAGGGTGGGATAGGGGTCTGTCACTTCCCAATCAACAAAGCACATGCCCAAGGGAGGGAATGTGTGGCTGGGGATGATGGGAATAGTAGGACAAGACACTCAGACTGAAAAAATCCAGAGCCTCGGAGATGCCTTGCACAAGCACTACTTTGCGAATGCTGGTTCGGGTTCAATATCCTGTTTCTCTGTGTTTCTCAACCTTCCCAATGCCGTGACCCCTTAATACAGGTCCTCATGTTGTGGTGACCACCAAACATAACATTATTTTCATTGCTACTTCACAACTGTAATCTTGCTACTGTTATGAATCATAATGTAAATATCTGATATGCAGGATGTATTTTCATTCACTGAACAAAATTTGGCACAAATACCCGGTATGCCCAAATTTGAATACTGGTGGGGTTGGAGGGAATTGATTTTGTAATTTGGGAGTGTAGTTGCTGGGACTTATAGTCCACCTACAATCAAAGAGTAATCTCAACTCCACCAATGATGGAATTGAACCAAACTTGGCACACAGAACTCCCATGAAAATATTGGAAGGGTTTGGTAGGAATTGACCATGAGTTTTGGAGTTGTAGTTCACCTACATCCAGAGAGCACTGTGGACGCAAACAATGATAGATCTGGACAAAACTTGGCACAAATACTTATTATGCCCAAATGTGAACAATGGTGGAGTTTGGGGAAATAGATTTTGACATTTGGGAGTTGTAGTTGCTGGCATTCATAGTTCACCTACAATCAAAAAGCATTCTGAATTCACCCAACGATGGAATTGAACCAAATTTGACACACAGAACACCTGTGACCAAGAGAAAATATTGGAAGGGTTTAATGGGCATTGACCTTGATTTTTGGAGTTGTAGTTCACCTACATCCAGAGAGCACTGTGGACTCAAACAATGATAGATCTGGACCAAACTTGGCACGGATACTAAATATGCCCAAATGTGAACACTGGTGGAGTTTGGGGAAAATGGACCTTGACATTTGGGAGTTGTAGTTGCTGGGATTTATAGTTCCCCCAAAATCAAAGAGCATTCTGAACCCCACCAAGGATAGAATTGGGCCAAACTTCCCCAAAAGAGCCCCCATGAGCAACAGAAAATACTGTGTTTTCTGATGGTCTTTGGTGACCCCTCTGACATAAAGTTTGGGTCTCATCTCTCATAACATCTTTCTTATGCACATATATGCAAATACAAATATTCATTAATAATAATAATAATAATAATAATAATAATACAAAATTGAAAGCCCTTCAGGTCCCAAGCATTTCGGAGAAGGGATCTTTAGTCTAAAGAAGCTCAGCGGAAATAGCCTTGTGCTGTTCCTTCCAGTTCCGTTATAGTTGGACAAGAGTCATGGGTTATGTGATGGAAACTTTGTGCCCTACTTTTCCAGCAGTAATCCTTTGGGTTGCTTCGGATGCTCTCCATCCACCACTGTGTTGCTCTCATCCTTCAAGTCATTTCCAGCTTAGCAAGTCTCCATTGTAGGGTTTTCTCAGCAACGTTTGGGTTTGGATTTGAGGCTGAGAGAGCGTGACTTGCCTAAGACTACCCAGTGGATTCCCACGCCTGGGCGGAGATGCAAACCCATGTCCCCAGAATCGTTGTCCAGGTCCTTTTCACAATTGTATACAGATCCCAAGCAATGTGTTGTCGAAGGCTTTCATGGCCGAAATCAATGGGTTGCTGAGAGTTTTCTGGGCTGTATGGCTATGTTCCAGAAGCATTCTCTCCTGATGTTTTGCCTGCATCTCTGGCAGGCATCCTCAGAGGGTTGTGAAGTCTGCCGAAATCAATGGGTTGCTGTGAGTTTTCTGGGCTGTATGGCCATGTTCCAGAAGCATTCTCTCCCGATTTTTCGCCCACATCTATGGCAGGCATCCTCAGGGGTTGAGGGATCTGTTGGAAACTAGGCAAGTGAAGTTTATATATCTGTGGAGTAATGTGGGAGAAAGAACTCTTGTCTGCTTGAGGCAGGTGTGAATGTTGCAATTGGCCACCTTGATTAGCATATGGCCTTGCAGCTTCAAAGCCTGGCTGCTTCCTGCCTGGGTGAAACGTCAGGAGAGAATGCTTCTGGATAATAGTCATACAGCTTGGAAAATTCACAGCAACCCATTGATCCCAAGCATGTGCAAGGTCACCATTACACAATCATGTTAGATATATAATATCCCTTGAACATTTGAATTAGCTGAGAAAGCCTTGCAGCTGAGTTGAGTAAGATCTCAATGGAGTCAATCAAATTCCTTGATTTAATTTCACTCCATTTCTTTGTCTATTTGAAGCTCGTTTGTCGGATCGTGATCAACATTTGGAAATGTTTCCTTTTTGGACACCTTCTGCCTAAGGCCTAAGTAGTCATTAAATCTCAACTTCTAGATCATCATCATCATCCAGACTGACATTTAATTCCAATTTCGTAATATAGTTAAATGCCATTGAATTGTATTATGTGGCAGCGTAGATGGGGCCTAAGTTACAGAACAATATTAAGATATACGCCTCAAGCTGAGCTTACCTAAACTGGGAATGAAAAGTATGTGCAATCAAACACTAAACACAGATTTGGTCAGAAGGAGGGTTTGTCTACACTGTTGAATTAACGCAGTTTGGCACCACTTCAACTGCCATGGTTCTCTATTATGGAACCCTGGGAGCCGTAGTTTGGTGAGACACCAGAGAGAAGGCAAAAAGATGGCATCGTATCGGTGCCTGATGTAAGGCATTGAAATTTGCCATTATTGATGTGTAAATCGCTTTGAGTCCCCCCCAGGGGTGAGAAAGGCCAAATATAAATACTGTAAATAAATAAATAATACTACAACTCCCAGGATTTCATAGCATCGAGACATAGCAGTTCAAGTAGTGTCAGATCGGATCAATTCTACACCTTTTGGGGGGAATAAAGTGGGGTATAAATACATTATTATTATTATTATTATTATTATTATTATTATTATTATTATTATTGCAACTTTTAATGTGAATATAAGTGATTTTAATGTTTGTATATCTTTATGGTTTTATGTCCCGGCATTGAATGTTTGCTGTATATATGTTGTGCTCCACCCTGAGTCCGTTGCGGGGTGAGAAGGGCGGAATATAAATGTTTTAAATAAATAAATAAATATATTATTATTATTATTATTATTATTATTATTATTATTATTATTATTGAGGATTGACTGGAAAAGCTTACACGATATGAGGATTTAAAGGCAAAACTGCAAAGACTCTGGCACAAGGCAGTCAAGGTGGTCCCAGTGATAATTGGCACACTGGGTGCAGTGCCTAAAGACCTTGGCCTGCACTTAAAAACAACCGGCGCTGACAAAATTACCATATGTCAGCATGGATTATTCACCGATACTTTACACAGTCCTAGACACTTGGGAAGGGTCCCAAATATGATCAGATACAAAAGCCAGCATAGGGATCTTGTTTGTTGTGTACTAATCTTGTTATGTATCTAATAATAATAATAATAATAATAATAATAATAATAATAATAATAATAAATAATATACATAACAAGATTAATACACAGCAAACGTGTGATCCAATACAACAGCCAACAGAGTGATCTTGTTTGCTGTGGATTCATCTTGTGTTAATAATAATAATAATAATAATAATAATAATAGGTAATCTTCTAGGTTCAGCAAAGTCTCTTTTACTTATATTACTTTGTAAGTAAAAATGCCACATGAATTGTGATTAGCCCCATAGTTTTTTGGGTCACATAAATGACCAAAACCCAGTATTGATCCCACTATTGTCTTTTCTTGCAGCGACTCCACGGAAACAGAGGCGTGAGCGCACGACCTTCACGCGAGCTCAATTGGATATACTGGAGGCCCTCTTTGCCAAGACCCGCTATCCGGACATTTTCATGCGCGAAGAAGTGGCATTGAAGATCAACCTGCCTGAATCAAGAGTACAGGTAAGGCTCTATGCTGGTCTTTCATGGGAGGAATGAATGGAAAACATCAAATCACTAGTGGTGCCAGTGTATATGGATGGGTGAAGTGTCTGTAAGTATGACAGTAAGACCATTATTATTATTATTATTATTATTATTATTATTATTATTATCATTATTAGTTTCCCTAAAGCAGTGGTTCCCAAACTTTGGTTTCTTCAGATGTGTTGGACTCCAACTCCTAGAATTCCTGCCTTTTGGCTGAGCTGGTTAAAGCTTCTGGCTGTAGTTGTTGTTGATGATTATTGTGATAATAATAATAATAATGATAATTTTATTATTTGCTTCTTTTCATGGCTCGAGACAGGGCATAACATCATTAAAATACACCATAAAGGTAAAGGTAAAGGTTTTTCCCTGACATTAAGTCTGGTCATGTCTGACTCCGCTGGTTGGTGCTCATCTCCATTTCTAAGCCGAAGAGCCGGCTTGTCCGTAGACACCTCCAAGGTCATTTGGCCAGCATGACCGCATGGAGTGCCATTACCTTCCCACCAGAGTGGTACCTATTGATCTCACATTTCAAACTGCTAGGTTGGCAGAAGCTAGTGCTGACAGCGCAAGCTCATGCCACTCCCCGGATTCGAACCTGTGACCTTTTGTTCAACAAGTTTATCAGCTCAGCGGTTTAACCCGCTGCACCATCAGGGGCTCCAAAATACACCCTAATGCATCCACTCATTGGGAATGGTTCCCAAACTTTGTTCCTCCCAAGTATTTTGGGTGAAAATAAACCATAATACATCAAAAATACTTGGAGGAACAAAGTTTGGGAACCATTCCCTATGAGTGCATCTACACTGTACAGTTGATGCAGTTTGGCGCCACTTGAACTGCCACTGCTCAATGCTATGAACTCCTGGTTGTAGTTTTACGTGGTCTTTGGCCTTCTCTGTGAAAGATTGCCAGTGCCTTACCCAGGATTCCATGCCATTGAGCCATGGCAATTAAAGTGGTGCCAAACTGCATTAATTCTACTATGTAGACGCATCCAAATGGGTGCAAAATTATTATTGGGGTAACAACAAGAAAATAAGCATTCTGTTTCCAAAAAGATAGTTTCTCTATTTGTAAACTGGAACCATAAACTTGGTTGAATGAATTTGGATAATTCATTCACAAGAAAGTTGAGTTAAGTTTGACTGATTGGTTAAGCATCCAGTGATTTTTCTTATTCAATCTCATGGTTGTGCAATTGTGTGAATGTGGCTGTTGCAGATGTGCACACTGCCCCCTAGTGGTTAAAACCACTACTCCTATTGAGTCCTATTGCATCCCATGATGATGATGATGATTATTATTGAAGTATCTACATCATTATGGAGCATTTGCATCATCATAATCATCATTATTGTTATCATTATTATTATTAAAGTATCTACATCATTATGGAGCATCTGCATTATTATGATTATTGAAGTATCTACATCATTATGGTGCATCTACATTATTATTGTCATGATTATTGAAGTATCATGGAGCATCTGCATTATTATTATTATTATTATTATTATTATTACTTTTATTACTTTTATTACTTTTATTATTATGAAGCATCTACATTATCATCGGGAGCCCCCGGTGGCACTGAGCTGCTGAGCTTGTTGACTGAAAGGTCGCAGGTTTAATTCTGGGGAGCGGCGTGAGCTTCCGCTGTCAGCCCTAGCTTCTGCCAACCTAGCAGTTCGAAAACTTGCAAATGTGAGTAGATAATAGGTACCACTCCAGCAGGAAGATAACGGTGCTCCATGCAGTCATGCCGGCCACATGACCTTGGAGGTGTCTATGCACAACGCCGGCTCTTCGGCTTAGAAATGGAGATGAGCACCACACCCCAGAGTCAGACATGACTGGACTTAATGTCAGGGGACAACCTTTACCTTTTACATTATCATCATCATAATCAGAACAACTACATCATCATCATCATTGTTATTATTATTATTATTATTATTATTATTATTATTATTATTAGAGCATTATTATTAAAGTATTATTTTATTACTACTACTACTACTACTACTACTCCATCCATAACCTTCACCTGAATGTATCACTTCTTCCGTCTTACAGGTGTGGTTCAAGAACCGCCGAGCCAAATGCCGCCAGCAACAGCAGCAGAGCAGTGGTCAGGCCAAGGCGCGCCCAACGAAGAAGAAGACCTCTCCCGCCCGGGAGACCAGCTCCGAGACCAGCACCAACGGGCAGTACAGCCCTCCGCAGACCGGCACTTCGGTGACGCCTGTCTCAAGTGCCAGCGCCACTGTTTCCATCTGGAGCCCTGCCTCCATCTCCCCGATCCCCGACCCGCTCTCTTCCTCCACCACCCCTTGCATGCAGCGCTCCACCGCCTACCCCATGACCTACACCCAGGCCCCCGGCTACACTCAGACCTACGCCGGCTCCACCTCCTACTTCAGCGGCCTTGACTGCAGCTCCTACCTGTCCCCCATGCACCCGCAGCTGTCGGCACCCGGAGCCGCCCTGAGCCCCATTGCTACCCCCACCATGGGCAGCCACTTGAGCCAGTCCCCGGCCTCTCTCTCCAGCCAGGGCTATGGGGCAGCTGGGCTGGGCTTCAGCTCGGTGGATTGCTTGGACTACAAGGACCAAGCGGCATCGTGGAAGCTCAACTTCAATGCCACCGACTGCTTGGATTACAAAGATCAGAGCTCTTGGAAGTTCCAGGTCTTGTGAAAAGGTGGTTGGCATCACGTCCTTTTTCAAAGAAGCTTCTCCTCCCCTTTGCATTTTAGCAGCTTGGGACAGTCTCCTCTGTCCACGCTTGGCATGAGACCCATCGCTTTTTCTCCGCTCCTGTTCTTGGTTTTTCTGGACGCTCTCCTTCCCTTCTCTCAATCCTTGTCCGAACCCTCCTTGACCAGCATATAAAGACTTCAGCATTGCTTTTTCTTTGTTTTCCTGCGCTGTTTCTGGAGATCCTCGTCCAGCCCCAGGTCAGAGGAGGTGGATCCGCGCAGAAGTTAGGAACTCGCAATACAGCCTTAGCGCCATCGGCTCTGGCCTTGGACACGTTGCTCCTGTAGACGCTTGGCCTGGACTCAGTGACTGGGGTGGCATTGAAAACATTGGACTGAGAGAGCCAAGGACCTGGATGGGGACGAATGGGACTTGACTGCAGGCAACATAAGAACTGATGGTGAAGGCTGGCATTTTCATGTTGGAGATGGCAAGATCTATAGCTGGACAAAGAGAAGTTTGCAAGAGAGCTGGGTTGCAGAAACCACATTGCTGTCCCTCTCTCCAAAATCATATTTACCAAACAGACCTGGGATAGAAGAAGCAACAGGAGAGATCCATTGAGAAGCTGGTCACGCCCTTATCTCTTCCAAATGTGGACTTGCCGTTGCAAGAGGAGTCAAGACAGAGTAACCAGTCATGGGCCATTGACTATGGCAGTGCTTCTTAGCATCTGAGATGTCTCTTTTCCACATCAACATCAGGCCAGGATTGTGTTAAGGGCATCTTGTCGGCACAAGGCTGAAATGCTCGCTTTTTCCTCCTGTTTCTGCAGACATGAAAAAGTGACACTGTTGTGTAAGAAAATAGGAAGAAAACCACAGGTCAAGCTAGCCCAGTATTATCTCTTCTGAGTAGTTTCCCTTCCAAGGCAGAAGGTTTTATACGTCCTCCCTGGACATCTCAAAGAGATGTTTTGCATGCAAAGCGTGCACTCTTCCCTAGAGCTACTGCCCTTCCCCAATGGAAATAAAGCTGCCTTATGCAGATGATCAATTCCATAGGATCCCAAAGTTCTGAATTTAAAAAGGTTTCTTTACCTAGGAACATAGGAAAGAAAGTTATAGTGACTCTATTTGCTTGGATATTCTGTGTGGCAGGGTTGCAGACCAGAAGGATTTCCCTATTTATATCTAGAGGTATTGGGAACTGATTTTCTGCATTGGAAGAGAGGAACCGACCCTTAGACCAGAGCTTTCCAAACATTTCATGTTGATGACACACTTTGTAAACGTGCATTGTTTTGCAATACAGCAATTCGATGTTACTATCAAACCAGTGTGAAAACAACCAATTATGAGAGATATAAACACATATATCAATTGTAATAACAAAATGTATGGAGACACAACATTTCTCATGGAAACCTTTTATTTATATATTTTTAAAATATATATGATTTATTGCTTGTGTCACGTAGACTCAAAGGTGTCTTGCTATGTTTGCATGACACACTTACAAACTGTAGCCAACACGCTATAATGTGTCGCAACACAGTTTGGAAAGCTCTGCCTTAGACTGAGTCTTATTTCATCTCCTGCTTTCTGCGGATTTTAGACAGAATTCCTTCTTAGCCAGATCTGGAAATCCATGGTCATCTCCCCTTTAAGTGCTAACCAAGGTCTCGCTTAGCTTCTAAAACAGTGGTTCCCAAACTTTTTTTAAACTAGGGACCACTTTGACCAGGAACCACTTTGAACAGGGACCACTCTCCAAAATAAGTACCAAAACAGTTATGAATCAGTTTTTGGTCAAGTTTAGATTCAGTTTGGTTATTTGGGGTGCTGATTCAGAAAATTACATTGGATAGATCACATCAGCTCTAGTTTCTGATACAGAACATATGCCATCCAGTTGTTGCCATCTGCTCACCCACATAAAAACATATTTAATAAGCCTCGGCACTATAAGAGGGTTTTGCGAGACTCATTGCAACGGTGCAGTAATAGTGAGGCTGCAGACCATATTTTAATTCTTGCGGATCACTGGTGGTCCACAGACCACAGGATGGGAACCACTGCTCTAGCTGAAAGGCAATGCAATAAAGTTTGGCCTGGAAAATAGTGGGATTCTCCTCTAGCTGAGCATACTGTAGCAGTGTGTATTGACATACAAAAGGCAAGGTGAACAGCAGCTGCCTCCACAGTCCCTTACTGAATATGTATGAAGAGGCCAGTTGCTCTAGTTGCAACAGGGTAGTAATGGTGAGGCTGCAGACCATATTTTAGTTCTTGCAGACCACTGGTGGTCCATGGACCACAGGTTGGAAACCACTGTTCTAAAATGAGAGGAGATATAAGTGTATACAGGACACGATGGTGCTCTATCACTGAGCAATGAGAAGACAGGAAGCGTAACTTCAGATCACAAATATGTTTTCCTATCCTTTTCTTATTTCACCTTGATCAGCTTAGCTTGACTTGGACTTAAGTATTAGCAGATCTCAGAGTGCTTGGCGTGAAAGCCCAGTTGGCCTTCTGTATAGTTTTACAGGTGATGAAAATGGGGATAAATATAGCCGAGCTATACCAAAGTGTATAGTCAAGGCAGCTAAATTTCTTAATAATAAGAAACGAAACGCATACCAGAATAGGCTGCAGCAGTTTGCTTTTGCCTGATCCCATTGGAAAGGCAAGATTGTCCTACGGAGTTGGGTGCAAATTCACTTTTGCACTTGGAACTAAAATAATAAGAAAGGAAACGCATATCAGAATAGGCTGCCTCAGTTTGCTTTTGCCTGATCCCAATGGAAAGGTGAGATTGTCCTACTAAGTTTGGTGCAAATCGCTTTTGTACTTGGAACTAAAATAATAAGAAAAGAATAGGTTGCAGCAGTTTGCTTTTGCCTGATCCCAATGGAAAGGTGAGATTGTCCTACTAAGTTGGGTGCAAATCGCTTTTGCACTTGGAACTAAAATAATAAGAATAGGCTGCAGCAGTTTGCTTTTGCCTGATCCCTTTGAAAAGGCAAGACTGTCCTACTGAGTTGGGTGCAAATCACTTTTGCACATGGAACTAAACTTGCAGCAGTTGAAGCAAGCTTGGGACAAAGGGAGAAAGGAAAAAGACGAAAGAAACTAAGGTCTCCATTGGAACTGAAAATGGCTGATAAGATGTTTGGATGACACAAATGGCATACTTGGTCATTGGCCCCTTTCAGAAGTGCTCTTTGGGAAGTTTTATTTTTCCCAGTAGTTATACAATTAATTCACAGTCATAACTGGAGATATTGTAAGAATCAGATTGGGGAAAGTTGTCCTTAAAAGCACAGAATATCTTCACTTTCTGTGCAATTAAATCTTGCCAATGGTTTTTTGCCTGGGTAATATCCAAAATTTGGATGGGCCAGAGATGTCACTCCCTTGGTCCTTTCTGGTGGATGTCAGGTGATGCAATACCGGCTAAACAGTATAATTTATCCAATGGTATAGGGCATAGACATCCTGTGATAATGCGGCATGTCTCATTAAGAGCCACATCCACTGTTTTAACGTGATGTGTCCCACACTGGGAATGTGTAATCAGCAGCAGAGTAGCAAAGCGCAAGGGCAGATGTTTTCACTGGAGAGTAGAGATTAAAGTCATCCCTCCATATTCATTAACTCGAGATAACATAAACAAAGGTGTTTATGTGAGTAGATCAATAGGTACCGCTCCAGCAGGAAGGTAACGGCGCTCCATGCAGTCATGCCGGCCACATGACCTTGGAGGTGTCTACGGACAATGCCGGCTCTTTGGCTTCGAAATGGAGATGAGCACCAACCCCCAGAGTCGGACACAACTGGACTTAATGTCAGGGGAAAACCTTTACGTTTACTTTTAAAGGCGTTTATAGGCTTTCTTGGTGGTGGAATGGAAAATAGCTATAGAATCACACTGGAGGATCTAGAGAATCCTAATGTTTGTAATCGAATCCCCGAACCATCAGATCTGCAAAATGTCCAAACTGGAAACGTGAAGGGCTGACTGTGTATCTAAAGATAGGAGAAAGTTAAAATAAAGTGGGAGGAAATTGCACTGTTGAAAAGAACACACATTCACATATACACACCCATACATACATGCACACATACATATATGCATACACACGCAATTCTGATGAATCCCTCTTCTCAACTTCGGATGGTCAACTCTGTGGTCATTCCCATTAGGGGTAACGTTAATAGAAAAAGAGGTTTATTTCTACGTAGTGCAAAGCTTCGTTGTGTAACTCAAGGGTCTCAAACCCTCCAGCATTTCAAGGGTGCGTCTACATTGTAAAGTTAATGCAGTTCAACACCGTTTCCGCTGCCATGGAATCCTGAGAGTTGTAGTTTAACAAGGACTATAACCTCCTGGTTGTGAAATTATTTGGTGTATTGTCGAAGGCTTTCATGGCTGGAATCACTGGGTTGTTGTGAGTTTTCTGGGCTGTATGGCCATGTTCCAGAAGCATTCTTTCCTGACATTTTGCCCACATCTATGGTAGGCATCCTCTGAGGATGCCTGCCATAGATGCAGGCAAAACATCAGGAGAGAATGCTTCTGGAACATGGTCATACAGCCCAGAAAACTCACAGCAACCCAAATTATTTGTTGTTTCCCTTCAGTTTTTGGATTCGGGCGAAACCTGAAGTGGAAAGTGATATATATTTTTTATTGTAATACATAACTCTATTCATTTTGAACCGTACCAATATTTCGTTGTTTGATTTTATATTGTGTTCAAAACAGAAAAAAGACAATTGGATGAATTATTACAGAAGTGAGGCACATATACGGACGTGGGCAAAGCCTCACCTTTATGTTTCCATTTAAAAGCATCCAAAAGACTTCAAACTGGATTCGGTAAATATTTGTAAGATAACGATTATGTTGCCCGAATACTTTGAAGAACTGAGCTTTTGAAATTTTTTAAAAGAGATCTATTTTGTAAATGTTCTTAGATCTTTTCCTTTTTTAGCCTAGTTTCCTTAGTCGTTAGCAAAACATTGGAAAAGAAACAACTGTCTTTTTGGCTGTAGATGAGAAGCATTTCCATGCAAGTTATTATATATATACATATATATATTTCTCTCTCTGATGGTTCTCTCTTATTTATTATTGTTTTAGGCTGTGATAAGCAATTTTCTGTACAGTAACATAAAAAATTGTCGGTGGTTTTAAAAAAAAGAGAAAAATATTAAAATGTCAAAAAAACACCTAGGTCAAAAAAGGAACGGTGTCTTTGTGTTTGTGGTCGATTTCGACTGTTCATTAAAACAATTGATTTGGCAAAATGAGGGCAATTATGTGAGCGAACAGTGAGTGGGACTGAAAATCAAGTTTATGGAGGCCGGTAATAAATGGGTCGCCACTCCAGTGGCACAGCGGGTTAAACCGCTGACTTGCTGAACTGTTTGCACAATGGGTTAAACCCTTGTGCCAGCGGGACTGCTGACCGAAAGGTTGGCGGTTCAAATCCAGGGAGTGGGGTGAGTTCCCACTGTTAGCCCCAGCTTCTGCCTACCTAGCAGTTCGAAAACATGCAAATGTGAGTAGATCAATAGGTACTGCTTTGGTGGGAAGGTAACGGCACTCCATGCAGTCATGCTGGCCACGTGACTTTGGAGGCATCTATGGTGATGCAATGGGTTAAAACCTTGTGCTGACAGGACTGCTGACCAACAGGTCAGCAGTTCAAATCCAGGGAGAGTTTGTTGAGCTCCCATCTGCCAGCTCCAGCTCCCCATGCAGGGACATGAGAAAAGCCTCCCACAAAAATGGTAAAACATCAAACATTGGGGTGTCCCCTGGGCAATGTCCTTGCAGACGGCCAATTCTCTCACACCAGAAGCAACTTGCAGTTTCTCAAGTCACTCCTAACATGAAAAATTATTATTATTATTATTATTATTATTATTTCATTCATTTTTACTCAAGGCAATTGACAAAATATTAAAACTAATACAGATCAAAAACCTACAAGGCCATCTCTATACATGTGCATGTTTTTTTTAAAAAACAAACAAACAGGGCACCACTCAATGAACGCACTGTTTTCTAACCCTCGGGATATAAATAATTTTTAGAGGACATTTTGGGCCGGAATTAGTTTTTGAACATGGGATGGCTGATGGTAAGGTGTACAACCAGCTTGAGGTTTGGTTTTGATATTAAGAACAGCCTACAACAGTGTTTCTCAACCTTCCTAAAGCCACGACCCCTTGATACAGTTCCTCATGTTGTGGAGACACCAAACCATAAAATTATTTTTGTTGCTACTTCATAACTGTAATTTTGCTACTGTTATGAATTGTAACGTAAATATCTGATATGCAGGATGTATTTTCATTCACTAGACCAAATCTGGCACAAATACCCAATATGCCCAAATTTGAACACTGGTGGGGTTGACGGGGGTTTGATTTTGTCATCTGGGGATTGTAGTTGCTGGGATTTATAGTTCACCTACAGTCAAAGAGCATTCTGAACTCCACCAATGATGGAATTGAACCAAACCTGGCACACAGAACTCCCATGACGAATAGAAAATACTGAAAGGGTTTGGTGAGCATTGAGCTTGAGTTTGGGAGTTGTAGTTCACCTACATCCAGAGAGTAGTGTGGACTCAAACAATGATGGATCTAGACCAAACTTGGCATGAATACTCACTATGCCCAAATGTGAACACTGGTGGAATTTGGGGAAAATAGAGCTTTACATTTGGGAGTTGTAGTTGTTGGGATTTATAGTTCACCTACAATCAAAGAGCATTCTGAACTGCACCAAAGATGGAATTGAACAAAATTTGGCACACAGAACTCTTACAACCAAGAGAAAATACTGGAAGGGTTTGGTGGGCATTGACCTTGAGTTCTGGAGTTGTAGTTCAGCTAGATCCAAAGAGCAGTGTGGACTGAAACAATGATAGCTCTGTACCAAACTTGGCACAAGTACTCAATATGCCCAAATGTGAACACTGGTGAAGTTTGGGGGAAATAGAGCTTTACATTTGGGAGTTGTAGTTGCTGCGATTTATAGTTCACCTCCAATCAAAGAGCATTCTGAACTCCACCAATGATGGAATTGGACCAAACTTGGCACACAGAACCCCCATGACCAGCAGAAAATACTGCATTTTCTGATGGTCTTTGGTGACTTCCCTGATGCCCCCTTGCGACCCCCCCAGGGGGTCCCGATCCCCAGGTTGAGAAGCATTGTTTATAGGGATGATTATGGGATAAACGCATATCCCTGGATGCAGAGGTCCAATTTTAAAAAACCCAAAACAGCTTGCAAAAGAGCATAAACATATCCCATCTCTGTCCCATTTTCCTCCCTGGTTCTAAAAAGCAAGAGAGAATGGATGAAGGAAAAGCACCAAAGTAGTGATCAGATGGTCTCGCTGGAAGGGAAACTGGTCTCATTGGAACCACTTTCTAGAAGAAGAAGGAGAAGGAGACAATCCTAAACCTGAGTTTGCATAAGACCAGTGGTTCTCAACCTTATTAATGTCATGACCCCTTAATACAGTTCCTCATGTTGTGGTGACCCCCAAGCATAACATTATTGTTCTTGCTACTTTGTAACTACAAATTTGCTACTGTAATTATGTAAATATCTGATGTGCAGGGTGTATTTTCATTCACTGGACCAAATTTGACACAAATACCTGATGCACCCAATTTTGAATACTGGTGGGGTTGAGGGACTGATTATGTCATTTGGGAGTTGTAGTTGCTGGGATTTATAGTTCACCTACAATCAAAGAGCATTCTGAACCCCACCAACAATGGAATTGGACCAAACTTGGCACACAGAACCCCCATGACCAACAGAAAATAGTGGAAGGATTTGGTGGGTATTGACCTTAAGTTTTGGAGTTGTAGTTCACCACATCCAGAGAACACCGTGGACTCAAACAATGATAGATCTGGACAAACTTGGCTTGAATACTCAATATGCCCAAATGTGAACACAGATGGAGTTTGGGGAAAATAGACTTTGACATTTGAGAATTGTAGATGCTGGGAACTGCCATGAAAATATTGGAAGGCTTTGGTGGGCATTGACCTTGAATTTTGGAGTTGTAGTTTGCCTACATCCAGGGAGCACTGTGGACTCAAACAGTGATGGTTCTCGGCCAAATTTGGCACAGATACTAATATGCCCCAATGTGAACACTGGTGGAGTTTGGGAGAAATAAACCTTGACATTTGGAAGTTGTAGTTGCTCGGATTTATTGTTCGCCTACAATCAAAGAGCATTCTGAACCTCACCAATGATAAAATCGGGCCAAACTTCTCACACAGAACCACCATGACAAATAGAAAATACTGTGTTTTCTGATGGTCTTTGGCGACCCCTCTGAAACCTCCTCGCAACCCCCCAGGGTCCTGACCACCAGGTTGAGAAACAATGCATAAGACAGACTGGAGATCCCATCCAAGTGGCTTTTCCGATGCCTTTGCAGCCCTAGCTTTGACGGAAGGCTTCCTCTTGCCCTCGACTCAGTCACCGGCCATCCCCGCACCCACCTACCCACCCGCCCCACCACACGCACACTCGCCATTTGTTATTTTTACTTATCTAATTTAGCAAATGCCCCAATCCTCTTAAGTCCGCTGCTCCCCCCACCGCGCAGATTGGTAACTGAATTAGAAGGGATTAGCGGACCCACTAAGGATGACAAATTGGTTCTTCAATGCCCGGTGACAGCTGCCCAGGGCCGTGCTGCCAGCCAAGTCCCCCTGGGTAACCTCCTTTAATTAAAGAGAACTATTGGGTCCGTCCACCCAAGGGAAGCGGACACACGGATTAAAGGCCCTGGCAGCAGGCACAGGAAGACTTTAGTGGCATGCGGGCCTAAACTAGAGTCTCCGAGTCCAGGCTGGACAGGGAGTGACCCCAGAAAGATGACAGGCCTCCAAATATTTTGATTTGTCCCTTGCTGTTCCAGTTCAGCCGCTGCTATTGAAGTGTCCCACTGTCCTCCCACTTGTCCACAACTTACCGTATATACTCGAATATAAGCCGACCCGAGTATAGGCTTAGGCTACGTGTATGTGTATATGAAACAAAAAGTGTGTAAATGAAGGAGAGCACATGGGAATGTGTAAATGGTGTCAGGGTACATACTCTCTCTGTGTGTGTATCTATATAAATAAATATGTAATAGTCGTTTGTGGGATTAACATAACTCCAAAACCACTGGATGAATTGACACCAAATTTGGACACAAGACACCTACTAACCCAAGGAGTGACCATCACTCAAAAAAAAAAATGATTTTGTCATTTGGGAGTAGTAGTTGCTGGGATTTATAGTTCACCTACAATCAAAGTGCATTCTGAACTCCACCAATAATGGAACTGAACCAATCTTGGCACACAGAACTCCCAATACCAACAGAAAATACTGGAAGGTTTTGGTGGCCATTGACCTTGACTTTGGGAGTTGTAGTTGCTGGGATTTATAGTTCACCTACAATCAAAGAGCATTCAGAACTCCACCAATAATGGAATTGAACCAATCTTGGCACACAGAACTCCCAATACCAACAGAAAATACTGTACGGTTTTGGTGGGCGTTGACCTTTGACTTTGGGAGTTGAAACTATATAAGTGAGGTTTGTATATCTGTGGAATTTCCAGGGTGGGAGAAAGAAATCTTGCTTGCTTGAGGCAACTGTGAGTGTTGCAATTGGCAACCTTGGTTAGCACTGAATGCCCTTGCAGCTTCAAAGCTTTACTGCTTCCTGCCTGAGGGAATCCTTTGTTGGGAGGTGTTAGCTGGCCCTGATTGTTTCCTGTCTGGAATTCCCCTGTTTTTTAGTGTTGCTTTTGATTTACTATTCTGATTTTAGAGGGTTTTTTTTAATACTGGTAGCCAGATTTTGTTCATTTTCATGGCTTCCTCCTTTCTGTTGAAATTTTCCATGTGCTTGCACCTAGTTGCCTAGCTTCCAACAGACTTTACAACCTCTGAGAACGCCTGTGATAGGTGTGGGCGAAATGTCAGGAGAGAATGCTTCTGGAACATGGCCATACAGCCCGGAAAACTCACAGCAACCCAGTGATTCCAACCATGAAGCTTTCGACAATACATTATTATTATTATTATTATTATTATTATTATTATTATTATTATTACTACTACTACTACTACTACTATGAAGCATCTATATTCTTCCTCTTCTTATTTTCATCATTGGAGCATCTACATTATAATTATAATT